CTGGAGACCTGCCAGCTCAGTGTCACATGCCCCACTGGGCCAGAAAGGGGTCCCCTGTAGCCAGGCCTGAGGCATGGGTGGGGGGATAGCAGAGCAGTCTGGTGTCAAGGGAGGGGACCCAATCAGCCCCCCAGGCTGACAGAGGCCACAAGTGGCAGGAAGAGGCTGACAGGGGCTGGCGAGGTGTCCCAGGGTCCCCTGCCAGCTCAGTCCTGTTCACCCTCTCTACCCCTCCCTCTCTTCCTTTGCCCTCACCACTTTGGGATGTCCTAGGTCCCCCTGAGAGAGGGGGAGGAGCAGGTACTTAGGGACTAGAGAGCAAGTGATGAGGTCTCAATCTGGAAGCTGAGAACCAGGTGACCTCAGGTAAATGGCCATGCCTCTCTGGACCTGTTTCTGAAATTAAGGCTGATAACTGTCTCCACTTCATGGGGCTGTATTAAATGACAACATTCATGTAGGCTGGGTGCGCAGCAGAGAGTAAACCCTCGGAGGGCAGCTGGTCTTTGTGTCACTGTTACGTGCACGCTCTACCATGCGTGGGTAACACCATGTTTCTCTCCCCGAGAGATGCCAGGGTCCCGCGGGGAACAGGCAGATTGTCCACTTCACACTCTCAGCATCATGACACTGGAATACGAGGCGACGAACCTGTTTTATGGACCCATTCATTCAAGTATTCATGAGTGACACTATTTTTGATGATGAAGGCACACAAGGGAAACAGACTATAGACTAAAAAACAGTATGTCTGTGAAATAGCCAAGTAAGATGGGGAACATGAGCCACGGGGAGGGTCCTCGCTGCTGTGAACAGGCGGTCAGGGAAGAGCTAACAAGATGCTGCTACAGCAGCGACCTGGGGCGAGTGGAGGGGACAGACGGGCTTGGTGGGAGCCCTGGGGGACAGCAAGGCCTGTGAGGGGCACAGAATGCATGAGGGGACAGGGTTGAAAACAAGGTCTGACACAGGGGGCCTGCTCAGCAAGGGCTGTGTCAGCCACAGCAAACACTGGATTTTACCTTCACCACAGGGAAGCCGGTGCCATGCTCTGCCTTGTTTGAAAAGAATTGCCTGGGTGCTCTGCCGACAACATTCTATAGGGAGGTGACAGTTTGAGGTGGTGGCAGGAAAACACCACCCGATGCTGTAATCTGGGCAAGAGATGGCTACAGAAGAGCCTGGCGAAAGAGGCTGAGAGTATATATTCTGAAGGCAACAGGGTCAGCTGATGGATTAAAAATGAGTGTGAGATGGGGCCTCCCTGGTGGCGTAGAGGCTAAACTCTCAATGCAACCAAGCTAACTGCAGTCACTGTAGCATGAGTTCGATCCCCGGCCGTGGAGGTGACCCACACAGCGCAGCAGACCTCTCCTGTCTCACCTGCTGCTCCCCTCAGCAGTGTATTTAAGTAGATCTGCCTGTTCTGCTCCCCACTCTGTCTCTGGTGAGTCCTCTCACACCCTTGCACCTCTGGCCTGCAACCCAATTCTTTTACACAAAGCAAATTAAAAAAAAAAAATATATATATATATATATATATATTTTAATGAGTGTGAGAGAAAGGAATAAGAACGGCTCCAAGGATTTTGGTTTTGTCTGTCTTACCAGAGCAACCAAAAGAAGAGACTGCAGTCTTTTTGAGAAGAGGTAGATTTAAGGAGGTTCAGGCCTTGGAGCCTGGTGGGACAATGGGATGATTCATTTTATATATTGATTTGACAGGGTCATGGGGTGCCCAGTTATTGGTCCAGCATTATTCTGGGCATTTCTGTGATGCTGTTTCTAGATGAAACAAACACCTGCACTGGGAGACTGAGCAAAGCAGATTGCCCTCCCCAGCATGGGTGGGCCTCACCCAATCTGTTGAGGGTCTAAATAGAATAACAAGACTGAGTAAGACAGAATTTGCTCTCCCTGCCTGCCTGTCTTTGAGATGGACATTGATCTTCTCTTGCTTTTGAACTTAGACTTGTATTCTCCTGGTTCTCAGGTATAAATATACTTTAATACTTGTTAGAAGTTAGTATATTACTTAGTTTATATTACATGTAACACGCAGTACTTATTTCCTATTGGTTCTTTTTCGCTAGAGAGCCCAGGCTGATACAGGGGGTGTCAAGAAACTCCATGTTGGTTGTGTCCAGCATGAGCTCCGGTTGGATTCTCTGGGGGGATGTGGAGCAGGCGAGGAGAGGAAGTCACCAGTGAGAGCAGATCAGATCACTGAACTGAATTTGAATCCTCCAAATCTGTCTCTTGACCCAGTTGAAGCCGGCTTTCTCGATGCAGCTGCTGAAATGGGATCCCTTCCTGCTGCTTCTCCCCAAAATTGTCCTGGGCTCCAGCTTTGTGCCCTGCTTGGAGTACCCTCCAATCTTTGGATCCATAAATCCCCTGCGATTTTGGGGAGCCCCACGGCATAGTCAGGGAAAAGCTGAGCAGTCATGGCTCTCCCAGGCTGCAGGGGCTCTGGAGGAGGAGTTCTTTCAGGCAAGGAGGCCTTATCAGCTGGGGCCTTAGGCAAGTCAGTTTTCCTGAGCCTCCCCTCCCCAGGCAAAACAAAGCTGTGTCACCAGCCTCTTCTGGGGTTTTAGAGGCTGATATGCACCTCCCACAGTGACTGGGACTTAGTGATGGCAGCAGAAAGCAAGCCTTTTAGATTCCTCTTCCCACACCAGCCAGCTTCTCTCTTTTCTGAGAGGTTAGGCTTTTCACCCATGTGGCCTTCCTGTCCTTCAGAAGCCACTTTTTACTATGGACCTGGGTGACCAGGGAATGGTTGCCTAGGGCAGGCTTTCAGAAAGGCTGCCTGTTGCCTAGGAAACTGCCCCACTCGGGTTCCCTGCGGTGCCACGGGTTGATGGGGTCTGGTGCCACCTGCTGGATGCAGTCTCACACTGCAACTAAAGCGCTTGGTCCCACAGGCCCCAGCCAGGAACACCCTCTGCCCCCCCAAAAAAACCCCCCAATTTGTCCGCTATGAAAGGCCTTCCTCCTTTTATGCTCCTGGATTCGCCCAGTGATCAAAAGAAGTTGGAGTCATTGTGGGCCGTGGGGAGGGATGAAAGCAACCCCTTCCCTTTTGGGGTCCAAAGGGAGCCCCTTAATTTCCACAGCGCAGATGTGCATTTTGCTTCCAGCTAGCCCCTTGCACAGGGAAGGAACAGTGGGGAGGAAGAGGTTAAAGATGAGGGTGGGAGAGGGAGGTCTGGGGTCACTGGAGATCCTCATGCAAGCCCCCTCATGCAAGCCCCCTCCTGCTCCCTCCTCTTCCCAGAAGCTCTACCCCTGGAGGCCCTAGTCCTCACTCCTTTTCTTCTCTGGGGAGAACCCTCCCATCCACCTTGACAGCTTGAGAGTCCCTAGGAGCCTCAGATCTTCCTGCTTCAAAGGGAGCCCTGGGGATAGAGAGGAAGAGAGAGAACCAAAAGCCCTCTCTCTGTATGGGAGACCAGGACTCCCTGAGAGGGGGCTCTGTCGGACAGCCCCTGTTCCCATCCGGTGAAGGGTGAAGTTCAGCAGCTGATGCCTGGGGTCAAAAGACACAGGAAGCTGCTGAGGTGCCAGGGATTTGTGCCCTCTTTCTTGGTCCTTGCAAAGAGTGGCAATACAAGAACAAGGGCCTAAGGCTTGGTTCTGCTGGGATAAAAAGTTTTAGTGCCCTGAGGCCAGAAGTGTTAGATGTTAAATGTTGCTCAACCGCTGATAGGCCAGGCCCTCTCTGGTGGCACAATGGGTTAAGGTGCAGCACTGCAGGGGGCTGACCCCCACAGTGGCAAAGCAGACCTCTCCTGCCTCACCTGCTGCTCCCCTCAGCAGTGTACTTCTTTGTCAATCTGCCTGTTCTGCTCCCCACTCTGTCTCTGGTGAATCCTCTCACCACCCCTGCACCTCTGGCCTGCACCCCAGTTCTTAAATGCTATAAATAAATAAATTTTTTTTTAAAATAGAGGGCCCTCCCTGGTGGCGCATCAGGTTAAAGCACAGCACTAAGAAGCTAAAGCCACTTCAGCATGAGTTCAATCCGGGCCCCAAGGTGACCCACATGGCATGGCAGACCTCTCCTTACCCGCCTGCTGCTCCCCTCAGCAGTGTACTTCATCAGGCGGTGTGCTCTGCTCCCCACTCTGTCTCTGGTGAATCCTCTCACCATCCCTACACCTCTGGCCTGTACCCCAGTTCCGTATGCATAAATAAATAAATTTATTTTTTTAAATCACAAGCAGAGAAACTGAGGTACATAGCAAGGGGGGATCCTGGCCTCCACCTGTCCATAGGTCTCTGCCTGCACCTTGATACCCACAGACCTCCTAACCTGACTCTAGCTGGGGTGGGGGTGCTGCTGACAAGAGAGCCAGACACCTTGGCTTGCAGCCCAGAAATGGATGTAGTCAACAGGCTTAAGGGGGTGGAGCAGGAGGTTGGGGACCAAGGTCCCCTGGGTCCCTGACCCCGCCCATCTTCCCCCAAGAGCAGAGCTGGAAAAGAGCTAGAGGAGGAGGCTGGCGGAGGTGGCTCAGAGGCACTCCGGGCAGGTGAGGGATGCTGGCCTCAGGAGAAGTGTGAGAGCGGCGGAGTTTGGGGCTGGGAGAGGCCATGGGGGTGACAGAGTTTGGCCCTGCACTACTCTGACCAGATTTCCTGGCTCCAAACTCTGCTCAGCTGGAGGCTTCTGGCCCATTCGGGGAGAGGATTGGGGTAAGGTGGATAGAATTACTCCGCCACCCCCCTAGGAAGTGGGGGGGGGGGCGGTGTGTGTGTGTAAAGCCCCAGGGCTGGGGGAAAAGAGTATGGACAGGGAAGTAGAGGGGAGCGCTGAGAGGCTGGGGTCTGACCCTTGCTAGGCTGGAGGGGTCCTGGAAGAACAAAAAGCCCAGGGAGGGCTGGTAGGAGGAGCTGCCTCTGCCCCTCCCCCTCAGCTGGTCGGGGCCGGTCGTGCACAGCTGGGTGGCTGACCCTCCTCTCCGGGCTGGCTGCCCACTTCCTGATTTGCAGGAGAACTGCAGGAGCTGAAAGGGCCTACAGAGGACTAGTCCAGCCCTCCCGAACCCCCATCATGCCATCTGAGGGCCCCTGTTCCGGGCATGCGAACATGGAGGGAAAGGTGGGGTCAGAGTTGAGCGGAGGGCCCGCCACTCTCCCCTCTGTCCCCCAGGACTCGCCTGCAATGGCCCCACTGCTACCCTCTGCGGTGAAGGTGACTCGACTCTCGAGCTCCATCCATCTGTACTGCCAGCCGGGCCTCCCGGGGTCCCCAGGGCCTCGCCCGCTGCTCCTGCTCCTGCCCTGGCTGGGAGCTCGCCAGGCCGCCCAAGCCAAGTACCTGCAACTCTACCTGGCCTGTGGCTTTGATGTGCTGGCCGTTGAGAGCGCCCTGAGACACTTCCTGTGCCCGCGCCTGGGCCTGGGGCGCGCAGCCCGGGTGCTGGCCTTGCTCCGGGGCCCTGGGGTGCTGGCCAGCCGGCCACTGGTGGTGCACGCCCTCTCTCTGGGGGGCTATACCTTTGCACAGATGCTGCTGCTCATGAGCCGGGACCCTGGGCGCTACAGCACCGTGACCCGGCACCTGTGGGGCCACATCTTCGACAGTCTGGTCGTGGGGAGCCTAGAACGCATGGCACTGGGTGAGTGTGAGTTGGGGGGGGACTCCTGGACTCCAGGTGGACACAGTTCTGCTGACCTAGGGGTCTGGGCTCTACACCCCAAATGTGGCTCTTCAAGGCCTCTGAAGGTCTACCTGGGCCTCCTCCCGGGACCGCGTTTACAACGCAGCAGCTGTTGTCTGGGTCCAGCCTGGGCCGTGTGTGGCCCCCAGCTACTGCTCTGGGGAGGGGCAGGAGGTCAGACTTCATTTACTGAGCACCTAGACACCTAACTTAAATGATGATCCCTGCCATGAGGCCCCCAGTCAGTGCTGGGTCATCAGAAATTCTTTTCTCAGGGAACATGCTGTGGAAAGTCTCCAGAATGTTAAGATTGGGTACAGCAGTGATTCTCAAACTGCAGAACGTGTCAGGCACCTCGGGCCGAGTGTCCATCTAGAGGCGCTGCCTGGCTGCCCTGGGCCTCGGTCCTCACTTTCAGCTCTCCAGGGGATTCTAATACACACCAAAATTTAGGGAGCACTGAGCTCTTTTTTTTTTAAGATTTATTTTTATTTATGCATACAAAAACTGGGGCGTAGGTCAGAGGTGTGGGGGTGGGGTGGGGGTGAGAGGATTGGAGCAGAACAGGCAGATCTCCTGACATACACTGCTGAGGGGCGCAGCGGGCAAGGCAGGAGAGAGGTCTGCTGCGCCATGTGGGTCAGCTCCCTGGCCGGGGATCAAACTCACACTGCAGTGGCCGGCAATAATTTGATAGTCTTGAGACTTAACCCCTGGTACCACCAGGGAGGCCCTGAACTCTTTAACTTTCCTTGGAAGGGCCACACTGAATGCTAATGTACCTCACGTAATGGGAAGTTCTCTGTGACAAGGTCAGCCCCAATTAGATCTAGTTCAAAAGGAAAATCCCTCTGTGAGCCGCTCACACCTTGATGCAGTTACTGTGTATGTCTAAAATCCATTCGATTTCGTTATTGCCATGGCTGGTCGAGCTGCTGTTTTGGTTTTTATAACCAACGTGCAAGGTAAACTATAAAATACGGCCTTCTTGTGGCTCACCCCCCTCCTTTCCTCCCCACCCCTCGGGCTCTGAGCCACCTCCTCCCACCCAGCTGGGTGACTTTCCACTCCTAAGTGCTCACCAAGGCCCCAGACTCCTTGCAACAGCTGCTGATGCAATGAAGCCCAATCAACGGGCCTGCCAGCCCCCTCTTCCCTCCTCATCCCTGAAGATACCACAGGGCTGGAAAATGCCCCAGTGAAGGTGGACCCCAGACCACACGGCCCCATCCAGGGGAGCCTGAGGGTGGGCAAGTACTGGCAGGCACCAGCAGGCGGTGGCACCAGTGAGCTGGGGCAGCCCTCCCTGGAGGCCTCAGGAATGTGCCCATTCACTGCCCACAAACAAAGGCTTTCCCCCTGAGCAATCCCAGCACTTCCTCCCGCCCCGACGGTTTCTACCTCAGTGGGACAGCTGTCCAGCCCACCCTACTACATAAAAAGTGCAGGAGGACCACATGCATGTACCAAGACCCCAGCTCGGGACACCCTGCTGCACGTCAGGAGGGACTGGAGGCTGGCAGGCGGCTGTGCGGGAAGCCCTGGTGCTAACCTACTCTCTGGTACCCACAGGTGTGTCTCAGCTGATGAGACCACAGGCCCTGGGCCCCGTGGTCAGGGCCACCGCCATGCTCTATTTCCATCTGTGCCCGGGCTGCACCGTTCAGCATTATGAGGCTGCGCTGGACGCTTTCTGGCGGCCGCCCGTGAAGCCTCCGACGCTTGTCCTCTACAGCTACGATGACCCCCTCTGTGACACTGCCCGCCTGCAGGAGCTGCTAGCCAGCTGGCAGCAGGCTGGCATGGCCGTGTGGGCGCAGGCCTGGGAGACCTCCCGCCACGCAGCCCACCTGCGCCAGCACCCTCTCGAATACCGCCAGGCCCTCGTCACCTTCCTGGGGAGGCTGGGCCTGGTGCCCCCCTCAGCCCGACTCTGATGAGGCTGTGGGTGCCAGCTCTGCACCAGCCCCGGGGACAGCTGCCCGGAGGACAAGCAACATCAACGGGAGGGCAGAGGCCTTGAGACCTCTCGATTTATTCTGATTATTTAATATACAATGACGTAACTGTGACCCCAAAGTGTGCAGTTAAAGCCTTCCACTGTAGCTGAGAGAAGAGGGCAGGGTTGGTACACCTGGGGGCAGCGGTGTCCGGAATGAATGGCGGCCTCCTTGGCAGAGACGGTGACAAGGGGAGTGGCCTGAGGAACAGGGCCAGGGGCCTAGGGCCAGGGGAAGGGGGCAGAGGCCTCCCTCCGGCCTAGGTCAGGAGCCCAGAGGTGCCACATGGCTGAGGAGGCAGCAGCCCAGGAAGGGGCCGGAGGCGGGGCCAGGAGAGCACCATTTCTGGGGATCGGGGCGGGGTGGGGGGGTAGTGAGGTGCCCTACAGGAGAAGCCAGGAGAGGCCCCAGGGGTGGGAGCCAGCCCGAGCAGGCTGCAGCAAGAAAGACCTGAGGCAGGCACAGGGCCTGAGAGCCTAGGCTGACTGGGCTCAGGGGAACTGAAGAAGGAGCCACCTGGGGGGACCCAGGGCAGCGGGGGGCCCAGGGAGCAGTCCTGACTCGCGGTGGGGGGGCGGGGCGCCCAGGGAGGGCCTCCTTTCTCTGTCTCTGGAAAGGAACTGGGGAACCCGTAGTGCAAATCTTGGACTGCTTAGTTATGGAGGGGAGCTGTGCCCAAAGGGGGACCCTGGGTCGTGCCCCCTCCGCTGCCTCGGCCTCCACCAGTGTCCTCAGTACAGCCGCTTCTCGTAACTGTGGGGACAAGGCGAGAGGGGAACTGAGAGTGGGTGTGTGCACCCCGCTCCCTTCCCGGATCCCCTTGCCCAGGACCCGGGGCCGATGCAGGAGACAGTGAGCTGCCAGAGCCCTCGCCCTTGGCCATGGGTGCAGGAGGGGCGTGGAAGCAGGTCTGTGTCCCTGCCCTCCTTAGGCCAAGGCTTCTGGAAGACCCATGCCAGGCCCAGGGACAGCCAGGCTCCTTTTGGCCACCGCTGCAGCTGCTACAGTGTCATCAGCACTCGGGGTGAAGAAACTCAGGAAGGCATGGCCCAGCCTCAGAGCAAACTCAGGTCAAGAAGCTGAACCCGCACAGCTGTGTCTCCACTACACCCCTGCACGCCCAGCGGCCTAGGCCCCTGGAGGCCACTCGGTCCAGCCCCAAACAGGGCAGCCTCTGCACCCGGAGGGGATCTTTGTGTCTGCTGGAAGGGCCATGGCTGGCAGTCCCCGCCACGGTGCTGATCTCAGGGTCCAAGTCCCACGACTGAACCCCCATTCCCCTGGCCCCTCCCCAGCCCGGGTCCCGCCCAGAGTGCCCCTGCTCTACTCTATGCTTGGCCCCGGGCAGCGCGGTTACTTACACGGCAGAAAGGTATAGCTACAGGAGATGGGGCGGAAAGAGACACAGGTTAGACGCCCGCCTAGGCCTGGGGAGCCGGGCCTCTCCACCGGGGGGCCGCATGCCTGCAACTACTGCTGCCAACGAGCTCTGCCCCCACCCACGGTCACCCAGCGCCGGCCCTGGCATCTGTCTCTCTGCCCTTCTCCCACCAGAGGGCCTGTGCCCTCAGCCGCCACCTGCCTGCCTGGTGTCGCCACCAGCAAGAGCCCAGCATCGCCAGCGCTACCACCAGCCACCAAGCTTCTGAGCAAACCAGCGGCCGCACCTCCCGTGCCCTGCTCGGGGGAGATGCCCGAGGGGAGGGGAGGGCCAGGGAGAGGAGGGGAGGGGCCTGCCTGCACGGGAGGCTAACTGCCAGGGTTGAGGGGCAGGCTGGGCACCGCAGGGCAGGGTGAAGGGGTCTCCCTGCTGCAGCACCCATCCTTGGTGCAGTGGTCCCTGAAACCTCAGCCTGGCCTCGGAATCATGGCCGCCCCTGCCTGACCCAGTGCCAGCCGGCCAGGACGCCACCGCACTTACGAGTGAAGGCCGTGGACACCACCCTCGATCTGAGCCGACATGGTCCGCTTCTCAAACTTGAGCTCCCCTGAGTACATCATGGACCTGCAGGCAGGTAGGCGGAGTGGTCAGGGGCCGCAAAGGCACAGAGGGGAGAGAGAAAGGAAGCAGGAGGGAGCCAGGGCCACAGGTGTGCCCACCTGAGGCCACAGCACTCACCGCAGGACAGACAGGCTCCGGGCACCGATGTCCTGGCAGCCATGCTGGATGCCCGCTATGAGGTAGGGCACGAACTTCTGAATGGAGCCTTTGTCCTGGATGGAGCCCGAGACACCCTGTGCAACCTTCACCTTATCACCCTCGCTGCGTGGAAAGCCGGCACACTGAGCCAAGCCGAGCCACCCTCAGCTCGGGGGTCTCCCACCCTACTTGTCCAGGACACTGGCAGAGGGGATCCCACCCAGCAGGACCCTCAGAGCAGCCACCCACTGGGCTACAGCATAAAAAATGCACCGATTCCAGGTATGATGGCCCAGGTCTGCCACTTGTGGGCTGTGCCTCAGTGTCCAGAATCTAATCGGAGACTGAGCACCAGTGGGTAAAGTCAGTGGCGTGCGTGGAGCCTGTAGGGTTGAGGACAGACGTTCCCGGAAGGCACCTGAAGTATCGCTTCTGGCTGCTGCTGCTCTTCTCCATCGCATCCAGTGAGCCCATACCCCGGTACTTCTTGAGCCTCACCCCGTCCGAGAAGAAATACTCGCCAGGGGCCTCCGTGGTGGCGGCCAGCAGGGAGCCCATCATCACTGCGGGGGTTGAGCGCGTCAGCGCCTCTGGCCCCGAGCCCACCTGAGCCCAGCTCCCAGCCCCACCGGCCAGTCCAGCGACCCACCTACGCCCCCCCTCACCTGTGGAGGCTCCGAGGGCCAGAGCCTTGACCACGTGCCCCACCGTCTGGATGCCGCCATCCGCTATGACCGGCACCCCAAAGCGCCGGGCATACTCGGCCACCTTGTACACAGCAGTACCCTGGGGCCGACCACAGGCCATCACTGGGAGAGCGTGCAGAGAGAGGTGTCAGCAGCAAAAGAGGGGGGCAGGCCCCTCTCTCCTGTCCTGCCTCCCCTCAGGAAAGTGGACAAGGCAGGGTGAGGTTTCTGGGGCACAAGACAGGTGGCTCCCCACCCTCCCACGCAGCACACTACTATGGGGGGTTTGTGAGGGGGCTCACAGAGGACACCGCCAGGCTGTTGTGCTCAGCTGGTGGTGTACCCCAGCCTTATTTCTCCCCTGCACAAGTCCCTCCTCATGGATTTCTGTTGCAAAGCCTGTTTCTAGGCGTGCACAGCCACCTCTGGGTATTGATTTTGCCTTTCTTTAAGATTAATCACCCGAAGTCCTTATGTGTGAGGTTTTAACCCAAGGAACCCAAGGAACCAGCACTTATCCACAGAAGGATGCAAGGCTGGACAAAGCAGAGAAGCGGCCTCTTCTTGCATTTCTTTTATTCCTACTGAACCCCAAGGTGTAGAACAGCACCTAACACACAGTTGGCGCTCACTTACTATTAAGTGACCAAAAAGGACTTTAAGCATTTTTAATGAAATATAAAATAAGAATAAAAATATAATTTAACGACTAAGAGCCACACCTCACCACAGAGTCAGTTAAGTATAAAAAGCCCTGGAGACCATCCAAGGGGGCATATGGAAGGAGAAGACCATGTGTCCCTTGGTATTCCTGAGAAACCACCATCACGAGGAGGGGCCAAACACACCCCCTTAGGCCCTGCCAGGACCCTCAAGTAAGGCTCTAGCCTCAGGGGCACCCCCTCAACCACACGTTCACTTCACGTTAGGAACCCACCTCAAAAGAAACGGGGTTTCCTGACCAAATGGAACCCCCGCCCCCAACCAACTATCACGAGGTGGTGAGGGTGTACAGCCCTATCCAGGAACATACTGTCCCCACATCTTAAGTGTTTGCCTTGTCACAAAGCCACCCCACATCCTCAGCTGGTGCCACAAGCATCTCTGAGAAGTAGTAACACCAACTCAGGGCCCCCCGACCAGAATCTGGGAGCCCACTGGCACACACCCCAAACTCATGGCATCATCATCTTACACCCACCTCCCCCATCTCAGAGGCCAGAGTCTGAGCCTGGGTCGCTCCTGAACCTACCACCTGGGGATAAGGGAGGGGCTTGGCAGGGCGAACGCTCAGTGTGCATTTGGGGAACCAGAGTGAGCCCCAGAGGATGCTGAGGGCCAATGGGGTTGTGAGAGGGAACCACTTATCTTCCTCCTGAACCCACCTTCCTGGGTGATGCAGATAGAGCCACAGCCCATGCCCACACGCAGCCCATCCACACCGGCGTCAATGAGGTTCTTGGCCTGAGCTGCTGTCACCACTGTGGGGGAGAACAGTGTGAGGAAGGGCAGCCCCACCCTGCCCACGGCTTTCTGGGACCCAATCTAGCCTCCACACACCCCCCCCAACCCCGTCACAACCAAAGCCCACTCATTCAGCCCTTTGCCCTCCCATGCCAGGGGCAGTGTGGTGCTTACGGAGAGCATGCCAGGGTTGCAGTCAGTGCAAGAACTGGGGGTGAGAGGAGATCCCACACTCACCATTCCCCCCAATCACCTGGAGGTGGGGGTACTTCTGCTTGATGTAGTGCACCATGGCGATCTGATACACAGAGTTCCCCTGGGACGAGTCCTGTGGGAGCGGGAGGGGCGCTTAGCCTTGAGGGTCCTCATCGGGAGAAGAATTTTCAAGTGGACAAGCTCTTGAAACCATATTAAAAATGACACGAGGAACATTTGGAGTTTTTTTTTTTTCTGGGAAGACATGTGATACTTGACAGCTGACACTGATGGTTCTCAGCTGAATCTCCAAGGGGCCTGCTTTTCCCAAAAGGTTAAGCCTGCAGATTGTGCAGTCTTGGAGGAAACAGCCTCTCTCACAACTGCTGCTGAGACCGGTCCTCACCAACTCACTAACCAAACGAAGTGACTTGACCTCTTCAGCCTGTTTCTTCATTGGGCACCGGGCGTGGTAATAGTACCTCAAGGGCAGCTGGGCAGGTTAATGCACCAAGATCTTATCAGGGTCTTGGAACAGGGCCTGGCCCGTGGGAGTTGTGCTCAAGTGGGCCCTACGTCAGGGGGGCGCAGTCTGAGCGGTCCTGATTCTGACTCCAGGCTTGTAGCTGAACCTGGGTCAAACGCCTCTATCTACCAGATCACCCTGCTCCCGGGCAGAGCTGTACCAGCACTATGACATCGGCGCCCGCCTGGGTGAGCAGATCCAGGCGATATTTGTCATCCTCACGGGTGCCCACAGCCGCCCCACACAGTAGCTGCTTGTGGGAATCCTTGGAGGCCAGAGGGTAGTCCCGGTTCTTTTTCAGGTCGGTGCGGGCAATGATGGCCACTAGCTCATCATGATCGTTGACAATGGGCAGCTTTCCTGACAAGGAAGGCAGAAGTGAAATGAAGGCAGGGCCCTGGGGGAAAGTTGGGGGCGGCGGACAGTGAGGGTGAAAATGGACCACAAAGGAGATTTCACTGAAGTACCCAAACAAGCCACTAGGTGACAGCACCCACCAGGAAGTGCTCCTAGGGATCTGGACCTCTTCCCAAGAAACAGGAAGCAAAGAAACCTCGAAGCCACGCAGATTCCTGGAGCTCTTCCTGCTCTGTGGCCTGGCCAGATCGGGGTGGGAAGCCCCTGTGAGCTGGCAGCCTTTCACCTGCTGGGCCACAGGCCACAGTGGTAGAAAACTCCTAGCCAGGACACAAATGTGAGTCTGCCCTGCAGGGAGAAACATGTGCCATGCTCAAGGCAGCCCCAGAGAACAATCCGGTGTGGGCAGGGGAAGTATTTCCCAGTGTCTCCCACGGGGACTTAACGAGCATTGTCAACAGGTCCAACGTCAAATAAATTTAGCTACAGCACTTCTCAGCATCTTTAAATAAGCCAAAGTACAATTCCTTACACAACATGGGGGACACAGAAAGGGGTGTTTTTCAGACTTATGAAATCACACAGCTCTTGCTTTGTGATGAGCATTTCACAGGACTAGTTTTTTGGGGGGTGGCAAAGATGCTCTCTTAGGGACAGGTTTTCCTAAGCCAAGAGAAGGACCTTGGCAATCATGTTCCAGCCTGGGGTGATTCAAAGGCTCTGTCTGGTTGCTAGGGCAACATGCAAAGCTGTGAAAGAAGAGGGGGTGGGGGGGGCAGAGGTTAGGAAAGCGGGTTGCAGGGCCTTGAGCTTCCCGCCTACTCCTTGGTACCTTTCTTGCTGCGCTGTAAGATCTCATTTGCCTCTTTCAGTGTCACACCTGCTGGGGCCACCACCAGCTCATTCCGCAGCGTCATCACCTGTGGGGCCGGGAACAGTTGCCTGCAGGTTGGCAGGTGAGAAAAGGAGCCAGGCCTCCCTCTGGTCCCTGGTGATCGGCACCAGCCTGGCCCCAGGGCGCAGGGTCCTCTCTCTGCCCCAGCCACTTTCCCTGCTCAGCAGGTACCTCACTGAGGAGGGTCGTGTGGTCCTTCTCGGCTAGGAAGTCGATGTCCCGGGAGGTGACAATGCCCACCAGTTTGCTGCCCATGGTCCCCGTCTCGGTGATGGGGATGCCAGAGAAGCCGTGCCGAATCTTGGCCTCCAGCACGTCCCCCACCGTGTGTGAGGGGCTCAGCACCACAGGGTCTGTGATGAAGCCCTGTTCAAACTTCTGTGGGCACAGACCAGGGGAGGAAAAGGCTGGAAGAAAGCCCAGGCACGGGCAGGAGGCTGCTCTGGCTAGACAGCAGACCAGACCCCACAGCAATCAGCCAGGAAACAGAGCAGCTTGCACTGCAGGCCGGGAAGTTGGGAGGGTCGGTCAGGTGAGGTGGAGGCCACAGAGTAGCCTCTGCTGTCCAGGGACTGGGCTGTACTTGCCTTGACTTTCCGCACCTCGTTGGCCTGGAACTCTGGGGTGCAGTTGTGGTGAATGAAACCAATACCGCCCATCAGCTGGAGTGAAAGGGAAGTGTGGTCAAAGCCAAGGGTGAACCCGCCTCACCCCTCACCCTCCTTCACTCCAGAGACCCTACTTATGACTCCAATTCCTCCTGACACCCAGTCCCTCGGCCCAGCCCACCTTATTTACTTTGCTCTACCCCGGGGTTCCCATCCAGGTGCCTGACTCACAGCCATGGCAATGGCCATGTCAGCCTCTGTCACAGTGTCCATGGGGGAGGAGATAAGTGGCGTCTTCAGCGTGATCTTCCGAGTCAGGGCTGAAGTCAGGTCCTGAGGATGGAGGCATAGTCTATGAGAAGAGTTTTATCATTCACTCAACAAAGGTTTGCCAAGCTTCTACATGCACAGCCTGGCACCAGGATACAGCAGTGAATAAGGCAAGCAAGGTCTCTGCTATTTCTCCCAGGGTTCACACTTTACTATGAGAGAAAGATGAGCAAGGGGTCTTCCTTTGCTCAGCTTCCTTCTCAGCTCAGCGAAAGAAGTCACTTGGATGGGGCCTCCCTGGTGGTGCACGGGGGTTAAAGCGCAGCACTATGAAGCTGGATGAGTTCGATCGCCGGTCAGGAGCTGACCCACATGGCACGGCAGACCTCTCCTGTCCCACCTGCTGCTTCCCTCAGCAGTGTATTTCAGTTAGTCTGCCTGTTCTTCTCCCCACACTGGTGAATTCTCTCAACCCCCTGCACCTCTGGCCTATACCCCAGTTCTTGTATGCATAAATATTTTTTTTAAAAAAAGAATAGACACTTGGCAGAGATTCTGTACTTGGTCACTCGGGGGCCTCTAGGCCTACTACACACTCTGACAAAAGGTCTGGAGTCTCTCACTGGGACAGACTGGACTCATCACAAACTTGCCAAAAGTTCCAGATAAAATGTTTCAGCTTTCCCCTGCAGATAAGGCAGGCAGGAGAAATATCATGGGGAGCCACCATACCCTCATAAGCTGTATATGGTTTATGAATAAAGAGTACAAAACTAATAAATAATACACAACACAGAACAAGTACCAAAAGGAGTCCACATTGGGGAAGAAGGCATCATAAAGCTACTTACATTAGAAAAAGCACATGCCCTGTGTTCAGGAGAACACCCCTATACAAATGCAAAACACAGAAAGAGGCTTCGAAACCCTCTGACCAGGAGGCAATTAAGTTCTAATGCCAAAGCAGTTCTAGATGAAAAAGCACAAATCATCTTTCATTTAAAAATAAAAGGAGATGAAAAGAAATTAAAAATAAAATAAAGGGAGATGACAAGTGTGAAATATAGGCACATGAGATTATTTCAGTGGGATGGAGACGCCAAAGAAAACTAACAGGGCAAAGTAAGCATGAGAGAGGTTGAGGGGGTCGTGAGGCCGCCTGTGGGGTGGCCTGAGGGAACTCAGTGTGGGAAGGACTCCAGCCACAGGAGCCCAGTGCAGACCTGCCTCTGATTCCAGTCTTGCCTGAGGTATATTTAAGAAAAAAAGGGGCCAGTAAAGTAGGGGACAGGGAGGGAGGCCTGAGCTGTGGGGTGACAGGCAGGCAGGGGCCAGGTCGGGCGGCTTTGAGGGCCATGAAGATGAGTTTAATTCAATTCTGAGGTGAGAAGCTACTGGAGGGTCTCAGACAGAGAAGACACACCATGGGACTGATATTTCAAAAGGGGGTTTGGGCTCCAATGTGACGAACGGACTCTAGGAGGACAATACCTGAGAAAGGGAGACCCCCACGGAGGGCGGAGGTGGTAAGTGGGAGCAGGGAAGAGTGAGAGGAGTCCTCTGCATTGGAGAAAGTAGGTGACTAAGGGTGTGGAGCTCAAGGGAGGGGTCGGGACAGCAGAATGTGCATTTGGAAGGCAAATGACTGTGAAGGCAAGTGACCCCTCTGAGACTCTAGGATGCCCGCTGCCAAAACACTCAGGCACAGACTAGGGTTTCTAATTTTTGGAACTATATACAGGCCCCTGAAGTCCATGCACAGGGCCTTGGCCCCACAGTCTACAGAAGTCCCCTTTACATCGCAGAAGAGTCACAGCTGTCCCAACCATAGGCCCTTCTTCCTTCCTCTCCTCCAAGCAGAGTGTGCAAGGCCTGGCACCATGCCAGGGCGCTGGGCAAACCTTGTTAAACTGAACAGCAGAATCAAGACAGCTTCCTACTTGTCACAGTGCAACATCCAGAAGAGCCCAAATTATTCAAAAAAATCTGTTCAGGCCAGCACTGCTACACACAGATTAGCATGACTGAAGCCCATGCACAGGGCCTTGGCCCCACAGTCTAGAAGTCCCCTTTTCTTTCCCTTTTTATCACAGAAGAACCACGGTCGTCCCGCCCAGCAGGCTCTTCTTCCATCTTCTCTTTGTAGCAGAGCATGCAAGGCCTGGCACCATGCCAGGGTGCTGGGCAAACTTTATAAAACTGAACAGCAGAATCAAGACAGCTTCCTACTTGTTGTCTTAAGGGAATATCCAGAAGAGCCCAAATTATTCAAAAAAATCTGTTTGGGCCAGCACTGCTACACACAGACTAGCATGAGGCCCCAAGGTATGAAGACGCAGGCTTACTGGGCTCTCTGGCCTTTCCTGAGAATCGGGCCAGAAAAAAGGTCAATGACAACAACAACAGAAATTTTTTTTTTCAGTGGTTATGGATTCATCATAGGAAAATCTAAATTTCCTCTGCTTTGACTTACACTCATCAGCTCTTCCACCCTGGCTTCTATGAGGCTACCACAAAGTAATGGTCTGATGGAGCATCACAGCCCCTGAAGAAAGTGAGGCCTGGTTTTTCCAGCTCTTTGTCCAAAATCGACTCCTTCAAATCCTTCTGCCACCTTCTGTGCATCACGGACCCATGACATGTCTGCTCATCTCAAAGTTTCCATAATTCTACTGGCTTCTATCATGTCCTTGCTCAGCATTTCAGATAAAATCTAACCTATCCAGTTTGTGGTAATAAGAGCCACACCCTACCCCCTGCTGGGCCCCTCTGAACCTCACTGTAGACTGTCAGTGAAAGCACCCTCTGGCCCTACGGGGGCCCACCATTCAGGAGATCTCTGCACCCCACAGCCCTGAGGCACAACCTGTTGCCCCGTGCCAGATTCTCTGGCTGCAATAAAGGCTATGTCCATCCACCACCTTCCCCAGAAGTCTCTCCACACCCTGCCCTTCAGTAAGATGTGTCTTCCACACACATGGCCCCTCTCCCCTGGGACAGTGGAAAAGGTACTCACCACCTCATCAGCTATGAAGTCTATGAAGCCTGGGAGAATCAGGAAGTCGCTGTGAAGAAAGAAGGAAAGGTGTTCTGAACCACCCTCTGCCCCCCCAGTGTCTTGCATCTCCAGTCTGGTGAACTAGAGCCAAAGGCAACAGCAAGTCAGTGGTATGCCACCAGGGCAGCGCCCCAAATGCCCACTGTCTTCAGGGCTACAAGGGATCTGGGACCTTCCCAAACACCACAGACAAGCAGATACAGTACCCACCCTTGACAACTTCTCAGGCCTGGTTGGGGAGACAGTTAACACAGAGTGATCTGAGAGGAATTTGGCAGAGTTCTGAGTACGTGAGCCCCACACAGCACACCACAGGACCGTGAGCGCATAGCCCAGGGCTGGGGCTGCTGAGTCATAGTGCTCTGAACAACAGAGGGACCCCAGGGGGCTGAGCACAGGCAAGTTCTGACAGAGCAGGCAGGCACTCAATAAACTTCATCTGGTTGGACTGGAGCAACTAACAGGGATGGGATAAGGGCGGCAGGCCTTACAGGGAAGACCAAAGGGGGGGGCAGTCAAAGGGTAGCAGCTCCTAACATTAGGGTGGATCATGGTCAAGGCAGGCCCAGAGGGGAGTGCAGACCTGCCTCATGATGGCAAGGTGCAGGCACTTCCACTTTCCAGGCTCCATCTGCCTGAAACCACAGGACCTTGACAGACACGGCCAAAAGCAAATGTCCCACACTTGAAGACTACTCTCCACTGGGGTAAGCCAAGCAGCAGGCACCCCAGGACAGAAAGGAAAAACTACAGAGTGGAGAAAAGGGGTAGGGTCTTGAAGTGGCCGAGGCCTAGAGAAAACTAGATTTCTCTGAGGAGTTTCCCTGGGTGACTCCAGTGAAAAATACATCAAAGAAATCCATACGCTCTCCCCACTCAGCAAAAACCATCAAAGAAATAGATTCTTAACTGCCTTCTGTACAGTGAAGAGCCCCCTGAGGTCAAAGAAATGCTAGTGTCTGGGCCCAGTGACATTCTTAAGTATCATATACACCCCTCAACTAGTCCACACCCCAGTTATGAACAGGCCTAGGAGACACGCTCAGACTGGGTATATGGGAGTCCAGAAAAACTGCCTGCCAAGCAGAAGAACTTACAGGAAAGGGCAGGGGTTGGCAAGAGACAAGCCAGGGGTGCTCTTGGCTGGCCAGGGTCCCCCATTCTGCCCCAGTCCCAGATTCTGATTCTCCTTCCTGGCATGGACACCATCCTGCAGCCAGGACGCAGGGCTAGTGCCAGGCCAGCAATCGACAGGACTACTGGCCCAGGGCCCATGGAAAAGCAAACTAAGCCAGAGGCAAGCGAGTAGGTCTGTCATCCTCCACAATCCCATGTGGGGTGGGCTTCTCAGAGTGTGGGAGTCACAAAATATCATGCCCAGGGGGGCACCAGTGCTAACCTGGAGCACAAGTGGAAGGAGGGTTAACAGGATGGTGGGGAAACAGCCATCCAGCCGCCCAGCTGGGTTTCTCCTGGGGCAGGTGCCTTAACTAACCTCCCGGGTCCCCATGTTCTCCCGGTGAGACCGGGAAGGAGGGGGTGTCCAGGGGAAAGTCTCCCCATAAGTCCCACAGCTCGCCTCCCACATGCCCCAAGGCCTCTCCATGAGGTCAAGATGCCCTCAAGAAGAGGAAAGAGGCAGGCTGTACCCGGATCTGGCAAGAAATCGGGCGGGCATGGCACCGAGGGCCGCTTTGTCGCTATGCCACGTCCGTCCGCTGTCCGCGGCCGGCGGCCGCCTTCCTTCCCATACCCAGCCCTTCCCCACCCCCCCAGCCCAAGTCCCTCGAATCGGGTCGGGGACTGCGGGCGTCACCGAGGGGGGAGCGGTGCACGTGCAGGGTCGGGGCCGTTAATCGCCGCGCGCTGGTGCACGCACCCAGCTGGGGCCAGGCTCCCCGCGCTTACTTGTAGGTGAGGCCGTCCGCGTTGGCGAAGAGCTGCTGCGCGGTGAGCCCATCCTCTGGCACGTAGCCGGTGCCGCCGCTGATCAGGTAGTCCGCCATGCTGCTGGGAGACACCGCGACCCGACATAAAC